CTAGACACTAGATCCGCAGTTTTTCGTAGCTAGTCTCAACACTCAAGATGGGAAAGTCGGAGGAGGGCTAGACTTTTCGTTGCCGTTGCATTGACACCCCGTACAGATATGAACCAACTTCAGGGGTGAGACCAACAGTACCCCCATGACTGCCAGGGAATTGCCATGGCACATTCGGTCACTCTGGTTGCAGCCCAGGTGGCACGTCGTTGTTGGTAGGTGGTGGAGCATGCGAAGAGGTGGTTGGGCCAAAAGAAAAGTCACACGAAATGAAATATGTACAGCGGGAAATCAACAGTATGAACAAGAGATACCATTTAAAATTTGAGCGATCATTGCAGTCAATGGATTCGTTTTGTAATCCCAAATGTTGTCGATGCAAGAAGCATTCCGGATGGACGAGTGTGAAAGGTGTTTCTTTGTGAGGGGGGTTCATTATGTCATCGCTAAGGATTTCCCACAACTCCCTGCAAAAAAAAACATCAACAAAAACCAACCCAGAGAAGAGATGTCAGAGATGAGGGGGTTGGGGGTTGGATTGCTATTATTGATTATTGCCAATTGCATTGTCATTTTGGCGGCATCCCTATTTTGAGCACCCAATCAGTTACTTGTAGCCTTTTCATTCTTGGATGCCAGCTCACATCACCCCACAGACCTTCAAGTGTTCTTCGTGTTTCTTTCGGCTCCACCTCCTCCCATCTGCCTCCCCGGAGGCCACCGGACGGGACTTCCCCACACCACAGACCTCCAAAGACTCGCGGTCTCAGGATGCCCAGACGTACATCGTGGTCGGCATGGCTTCGATGTTGGCAGCCAATTGCAGCGTTCGGGACCCGTCGAACGTACGAACATGAAGAGCCTTCGACCCCGGAGAGTGAAACTGCTTGGAACTGGAACGAGCAGCCGGAGAGTTTGGAGAGTGGGAGAAGCCGGTTCCTTAAGAATCCAGAGTGGCATGTCGATGGATATGTTTGTTTCCTCCATGTGTTTCTCCAATTGCTCCACGGATGCCATGAAATGTCGAGAGTCCCAATGGAAGCCAAAGCAGCTTGGCATCCGACGGGTGTTGTCCGATGGCCGAACCAAGTGACGACATCCCACATCCATGGGAGGTGATGCAGGAAGACACACGCATCGACTCCCTCCTCCGGGCCGCATCGATTCCATGCCAGGTGGGTACCTTCCCACCCTACTGACTAGGGTGTCAAACACATTCAAACAAACACCCGGTTTCTTTCAATCTCTTTATATATCACTTGCTGGGGTGCAAACATGTGAACACCCTACCCGAGGGGATTCTCCAACATGGTGAAAACATGCATGAACAATTGCTCACCAAAAATGTGGATGCTCACAGATATTCCATGCATGTTCTTCCCAAAAAATGTATCCACCCCCATACACTTGATGGGACTGCCATAGGACTGCCGATCAGGCCAGGGTGGTGCCAGGGGGGTCTGTTTGGGGCGGCAGTCCTATGGCAGTCCCATGCGTCGTGTATGGGACCTAGGACTGCACCTCTCGCCGATCACCTCCAGGTCCCGATCACCTCTGTGGTCCTGGCCGTCGAGCTGGCGGGCGGCGCCAGCTACGAGGCGAGTCCGAGTCGAGTCCAGGATGAGGTGGTCGTCGCGAAGCAAGACACCCGGGACAAATGGACATGGAAATCCTGAAACAGGACCTTTGGAAGGCGATGTTCCTCTACAACCCCGTGGATTTCAGCTCTGTCCCAGGGTGTAGTTGTAGATGTTGTAGGAGCTGCTCATGGTCCAGACCTAACTAAGTGTTCAAGCTGTGGTGATAAGGCAAATTTGGAGGTCATGAAGATATGAGTTCAAGCGAACATGATATCAAGTTTGTTTGTTTTGGATATGAAGGGTCCTCTTAAATAAAACAAAAAGAAAACAATAGATTAATCATAATGTATAATCGCATAACCGTTATTTGGTCAAAGAGAAAGGGTCTTTAAGAACATTGTCCACAGAACAGGGTGTGTCGCTTTATTTTTTGCAGTTGAGCAATATGGAGCAATGCCAAAATATGCCAACCATCGAGAAGAGCAAAAACTCTCGCAGCGGAGCCAGGCCACTCTGCCACTCATCACCGGCATCGGTGTAGCGCTCTACGTGGCTTTGGTTCTGCAACCGGTGGGTGGGAGGTGGGGCTTGGCAAGTCTCGCGCAGAGTGGAACTACCGACCTAGACCTGTCAATGGAATGGATTTCCATCAGCGCTTGCAGGGCTGATTCTCATGAAGCAGCCTCATTAACCCTGCACCTCCAGTCGTACCTCCTCAGAAGGTATTTAGACCCTCCAAACCCACCCCAGTCCCACCTTCTCAGAAGGTGCTTGGAGACCGACCGTGATCCCACGTGATCCGCGTGATCCCCCCTGGGTTGCTCGCTTCACGGTTGAACCGCTCTGCCCGACGTGACAGAGCTGCTGTTGGGGGCATAGGGTCTTCTATAGATCTTCGGCCCATTTGTCACCTGATGGAACTAGGAAGAGTGTCATTTTGCCCCGGAGCAGCAAATCGCCACAGACTTTCTGAGCAAATCGCCACAGTGTGTGAGGGGTGATCAATGGCTTCATTGTGGGAACATCACCCCGCTCAAACTACCGTCACATGAACTCGTCGACGAAGGTCTCGGCGGTGCTGTTGCCCGCCATCTTGGATGGCTTGGACCGTGATGCCGCGCTTCAGAGGCCGGTGGCTGTGGTGCTGCGTGCTGCGTTTCTCGGTGCGTGTCGTTTGGGTGTTCTCCTTTCGGAACGGACCGTCCGCCAAGAAAGAGAAGGAGCCCAGACGCTCCGTTCACTGCTCGACTGGTGATGACTGGTGTCTCAAAACCGGGATTTGAGGGTCCGGCCCCTACTTAGGAGGGTCCATGAGCGTCTGGGCGAGCAAAAAAAGGGGGCGTGACATGAGGTTCCTTAGCTTATAGTCCTTATACCCGGATGCGGCATTGCAGATTCGTGGGACTCGAGATGGCGAAGAACATGTGACATAGTTTTGAGCGGCAAAACGCCGCAGTTTGGCATAGTTTGCCTTTGACTCCATGAATATATGGGGGTGGATCGGAGATCGTTCTGATGAGAGATCGGATTCCAAAGCGCAGGGCACGACGTCGCAACGCCACGACGTCGCGCAGGGCGGGCACGTTCCGTTCGGTCTCCCTACTTGCCTCGATCGACGGAGGGCAGTAGAGTTCAGTTCAACCGATCTGAAAGCGGTGGAACCAAGTCCTTGTGTGTTTCAGCCAATTTCAGAATTCGTCAGGTTTTTGCAGGTTCTTCAGCTGTTTTCAGCATCCAGTTGGACCTCAGATCCGGTCGTGTTCGGAGTCGCTTGCCCGCGCCCCCCAAAAGGGGGTCGTTCGCTGGCCCGGTCTCGGATGAATACTACAGAGACTATACTGAGAGGGCTTATATGGTACTTAACTTGTAACCATAATTGTAATCATCATAAGTATGGTCATAACCCAGGCTTGGCATACTTGTAAGTGTCATAAGTATGTCAAACGTTGTGGTATTTACAATAACATGGTTTAGGGTGAACTTATATATTTAGGAATGCGGGCATTTCGACACATCCAGATCGACATGATCCGTCCTTTTCGCGTTCCCAAGCCTTGGGTGTGCATGTGAGCCCCCCTCAGGCATTCGAGTGGGCATTCTTACAAGTCACTTTTGGGAGCCTTTGAAAAGCTTTACTAACATCATCAAATGTCCGAATCCAACCCGCAGATGATCCCTGAAAGACTGGGAAGATCCAGGGCTTCTTTTGGGTGTGGATGGCGTCGGCGTCTTTGGGAACGTCCACGTCTCGGCGTGGTATACGTCGCCGGTCCTGTTGTCATCTCGTCACCTCCGTCATCCAGGTTGGGCGAAGAAGTGGGGGAAACCCGGAGAGCGAGAGCCGCCGTCCGACGACGAGCGCGCGGTCCGCGTGATCGACGGGAGCGGAGCATTGGAGCCACACCCCAAGCGGCGGAAGCACTGGCCATGTACTTGGGCAGTCAGCAGCTTGAGGGCCTAACGTCTGGGGAGGAAAGCGAACAACGCATCCCTTCCAGTTGAGAGATCCCTTCACACATCTTTACACTCGTATATGGTATCCGTATATAAGTCCCAGTTTCTTTTCACAATTGACATCTCCTTAATGGAAGGAACTGAAAGGGCAGGGTATCAGATCATATCCCATGTAAAGCTTCCGAGAGCTTTAGGGCTGTGGGGTTCAGAAACTCCATGAGGATCGCTGTGATCTCGCCAATTGGAGAAAGATCCACAAACCCAAGCAATCAGAGCCTGTTTGGGTTGGAAATGGGACTCTTCATCCACTGACTCCCTTGGGAACTCCATAGAATTTGAACATGACATGTAACTGGACCCTCCGACAGGTGTTTCCTGGTGACAGGTGCCCAGAAACCACCTGTTAGGGTCTCCATACTGGCCAGGAGGGTCCTGGTATGGAACAGCCTGATTTCACTTTTTGACCGGGCATTTTCAAGAACGATTCTAAGCAACTCATCGATTCCTTGATTCATCGATCATCGCGCGGAGAGAGGCATGTCCGCCCCATTGAGGCGGAAGATACTGGCTTATGATTGCAAAACGATTGAGCTAATGAACGTTTCATAGGAATCGCTTTGGATAGAAGATGATAAAAGCTTTGCTGGTCTGGAGCTGCTGGGGTGGAGGAGTGTCTTATGTTCCCACAGATTCAACTCGGACGAGTTGCATTTCTTCTGCGATGCGATGCGCAGATCCATTTCGTGACCACAAAATAGAGATGAATTCCATTAGGGAAGTGTATGGTTGGGAGATATGTTGGCGCATATTGGAATTTGGAAGATGGATGTCATGTCTTGTAACGATCTGGGCTAGAGTATTCTTAGACTGTGAACTGTGAACCACATGTCTCGGTTCTTGGCGGTATGGACATGCCAAACTGTCCAGTGGAAAACCGCCTTTTTGAACAGGAAAGTAGTCTTCCAAGGGGCCATTTTCCACTTCCATGTTAGTGAGTCAGAGCATGTCAGAGAGTAGCTTCTGCAAACTTGCTGCACCTTCCAGTCTACATGTCTCACAGAGATCTGGGTTGCTCTTGGCGCGAGAGGCTCAAACAATTCGGATCACATGGGTGGACTCTTTAAGGGATACAGTAGTTGTCCCGAAGGAGGTGCATCGCTCAGAAAGAAGCTTTAAATAAGCTTTATCTCTGTTTATTATAAGCTTTATTTGTTCATAAGCGTTATTTGTTTATAGATTTATGTGTGCTCAGAAAAAAAGTAAATTATATTCATAAAAACACACACACACACAACGAAAGGTGCACCAGCTTGCTTTCAGGCTGGAGCGGTGAAACACATGGTTTTTCAAACCGGTGAAAGCGTTTTTTCGCCAAAAAAAGATGACAGATAGACACATGGAGCGTTCCCCTTATGGCCATGCAACATGTGATGGTTGTTTTTTTCTGTTGACTGGAGTTGGAGTTGATCCACGGCAAAGTTGACCCAAAAGAACTGGTGCCTCACCCAGAAAGCAAATTAATTCACATCAAGTTTGTTTGGTTCACGAATGTTCACTATGTATATCATTGTCTTCGTTTTGTCTCTGGCCCCTTTTGAAGACATGGATACCGTGCGAGGGTTGATGGTCGGACTCCAGGCAGGGCTTCTGAGCACGTTGTATAGGTGTGTGCTTCTTGCTTGCTTTCAGAAGCGGCATGCCGAACTCAGCGGTTCTTGCTTGTTGGGTGTCATTTCTGGCCGAAGCGGCCGAAGCTCAGAATCCTCCCGGACCAGGCTCCACAGCACTATGACAAGGCTTGGACTGGTGGAGCCCCCCGCAGATTCAGCTCTGGTGGGGGAGATGGAGGCAGCAAATGGCCATGATCGTTTACCGTAGTCCTGGTTTTGCTTAGGAGGAATCTGTTACTTTTATTGATATTCCCTATGATGGGTGAATCCCCGAACCTGTGGATTTTTGTATTTGTTGTTCAAACTCTTCCAGCAAAAGCTTTTTTGGCCTTGGGCTTCCTAGATGAAAGCCGTAGCCAGCCAACCTGGAGGCAAGAAGTGGTACTAGGATGTAGGTGCCAAGGACCTTTGGGTTTGGCCTTTGGTATACCTTTGCCAAGGGTATTTGAACAAGTATCAAACGCAACACAGAAAGACTCAGTAGACCTTCCTCTCCGATCTCTTGGCTCCCTTTTTCTGCGTGTTTGTCCCAAGAACTGCGGTCTGATGAATGTACCACGCGATGTCAACGGGTTCAACGGATTGTGATGGGCACCCCACTGAGTTACTGCATGTGGTGAGCAACTGAGGTTACTACGCCTCATAATTTCTACTTATATAGCTTATGTATACCATGTAGCTTAGACCAGGACCCTCCTGTCGGGGTGTCTATTCATAGCCCCAAACAGCTGTGATTCAGGGTGTCCATGAACCACCCCGACTGGGGGTGCTGGGATAGATGGTTATATCGTTTCTTTTGCAAGGTGGATCGGATGTGCCTGTCACCGGTCCAGAAAGTATACCAGTGATAGATTGAACCCTCAAGACGAGGCATCCTCCATGTGATAGGCTCGCGCCTCAAAAGAGTGGCTGTTCGCTTTCAGTGTCCTGTTTCATGTTCAACCATCCCAGACCCATGGCGAATTCGTTCTCCCCTGGTCCGACCGATGGCCTCCGGTGTGGCCGATCGGGTAAACTTCCCGAAGTGCCGACCGATGGGACCGGTGAACCATGGCGAAGTCCCAAACCCCGGCTTTGAGTGATTTCCCCACTTCATGGGATTTCGATCTGTGGGTGAATCCCCTGCAAAGCAGGCTCCAAGTGAAGTCGCCGTCGCCGTTCTATCTACTCTGAAACCGCAGTACTTGTATGTATACTTGTTGTTGTTTTTATTTGTTGTTTACTCTTTTTCTGTATTTTTTTTTTTCCCCAGCTCTTTTTTGTTGCGCAGGTCTTCAAAGACGAGTGCATCTACACCTTCGAACCGTGGCCCCAAAAAGTCAGCGGTCAAGCGGTCCGTCCGTCGTGTTTTTTGTCCTTCGTGTCAAAGTCAACAGAAGCCCAACTGGAAACAAGGGCTCGAGGCATCCGCTTGGGGTGCCCTAATATTAGTATAGTAGGTCCAAAGTAGGTCGTGTTGGGTAGTCAAGAACGTGCTATCCGTGCTATCCTCTTAGCTTCCTGGTCCTGGAAGCTTAGAACTGGTGGGCTTGGAGAGTTGAAGAGGTTGGGGAATCACATTGATCAAAGCTGGTATGCAACGACGGCTGAGGATACCCCCTTCAGCGAAAGTGGCTTGGCGGTGTGGGCCCCAAGTGACTCAAGTGACAGGAAAGTTTGCAGCGCCTTGGGCCCAAAAGTGCAGATGGTTCTTACACTGATCAAGTTTGTGGTTGGTCTGTTCATTTTGCTTGTTCTTGGAAGTGTTAAGTTTAGGCACCTCTTTCAAAGGGCTCATTTGTTCCACCCTCTTCTCGCTTCGCCCAGAGCGGAGTGAATCTGTTCCACCGTTGAATCGACAGGTGAATCTTCGAACGTGGCAAGGCGTGGCTCTAGGCCCGGCGTTGGTTTCTGGGCGTATAATACCCATTGCAAGAATCATCTAAGACATCGCAGCTTCATGTCTAGTCACTAGTCGATCGTCGATTCTTTTCTCGGTGTTCGCCGCTGGGTCGTTGTCTCGGATCCTCTGTCACAGCTGGTCGCTCCGCTCAGCCGCTCCGCTAGACATGATCGACCTGGACCTCCAGCGATCAGGTGGACGAGGCCGGCGGTCCACGGTGGTCGTGCACTTCTCAGCGGAGCTGCTCGATGTGCCGAGGGTTGTCGATCGACCCTCGATCTCTCGATCTCGAACGCCGAAGGGAAAGGAACGCACATCAACATATTCCCAATTCCCAAGTACATGTTGAATATTGTGGGCGCGCTTTTTTAATAGGTGGATTGGATAAAGGAACGTAAGAAACTCTGAGCTCATCAATCTCATGGGATGTCACTCACCGACGCCCACAGCTTTCGAAAGGCCGCCCACGGCTTTGGTTAACACCCCAGCTTTGGTCCTGCAACGCTTCAAACTCGTGTAGAGGTGGCTTGTACTTGTTGCAGAAGTTCCGCCGCGAAGAGAAGGCGAAACCTACAGGCAAGACCTGGCGCGGATGGGATGGGATGATGGTGTGCGATGGTGTGCGGTGTGCCATGGTGAGACGTAAAATATTCGCTGCCAGAGAAGACCAGAGAAACTGGTTGCGCTCGATCCGCCCAGCTGGTTGATCCGGTCGATCGGATGATGCTTGGGGGGATCGGCCTGTGGGATGAACCACGAGACCGGGCGATCGGTCCGAAGCAAATTTATCAGTTTGGTGTGCTGGTCAATGCGGTCAATGAGGTGTGCTGGTTCAATTGGTTTCCCCATATGTTTCCCAATGTCAACAGGAACTTCCAGGGAAAGTGCGTCCGTTTTTTCCCACCTGCCAGGTGAGGGTTGTTAGACATATGCTGATGTCATCACAGATGTTTATCACCATTTGTGTTAGACCCATATATACATCTATATACGGTACCATATTTTTTAAAGACTGATTTAGGACATGTTAGGACTATAGTAATCTATATTCAATGGTATCATATCCGATGTTGCTTTCGTTCAGGGTTGCCCAAGAGAGAGATCCTGCAAGATTTGTTCAGCCAGGTGGGATTTTGGGGGTTCCCGACGACCTTGTGACTGGACATCCACACTGGATGACACTATAGCTATACAGTTGCTGCCATTCAGACAGTTATACAGCTATCCCAGGATGAAACACATAATATATATACTGCACAACCACTTAAACAAGAGACCACATTTGCACTATGTTGCAATCACTATCGTTCCACTGTTTGGAATGTCGCTTTGAACCCTGCGCATGATTTGGGCGCACGCAGATCCGCAGCCCGAGCCGACCAAGCTGGCCATCGGGGCACAGCACTCAGCGGGTCACGTGAGGTTGTGCCTAGGACGGTGACATGCACAACCAACAGTCCTGGACCATGGGAGTGTACATGAGTGTACCATAGACCATGGAAGTGGACGGCAGCTTCCCTACTTCCCACACAGGTGGTGAGCTCCACGAGGCATGATGATGGGCCAGTATTCATCCCCTACTCCCCCTACAGCAGCCCTGGGGGATTAGTTGACCAAGGGTCACCCCGTGGTTTCTTCGGTACAATTGAGTTGATGGATATTTGTTAAGACCTGTAACTTGGGATGATTGACCCCCCACTGACTAACTATAGTGGTTGTTTCAAGCGAGTGGAAACCACCAACCAGCTGCATCCCGGATGCCTTCCGTTCGGGGTAATAGATCACCTACTCTATCTACTGACAGGTCTCCTGGGACAGGACCGCCCTGGGACAGGACCGCCACATCCGCTCACAGCATTCTGATGCGATGTTCGGAGGAGGATTCGAACCTCATCCAACCCCCCGCTGCCCATCATAGTGCACATGGAGTCCGGCCAAAAGTCTATAATCAAAAACAAGATGGAACCCACGAACCCGAATGCAAACACGTTCCATATGCCCAAATGACACTCTTGTAGGACACTCTTGTGGGACACTCTTCTAGGACACTCTTGTAGGACACTCTTGTGGCTCACT